CAAGCCGCAGAGCCGCGGCCGCTCGGGCCGCCGGGCCTGGGGGTGGGGCCGCCTGCCAGTGTTTTTCCAGTTCCCCCGGTAGCTCTGGGCCGCCTTTAGAAGCCGGGGAACTGGGCCGAAGCCAGGGTCAGGGCACCCGAGGCCCTCGCGGCCCGCGGAACCTTGCCAGGGCAAGCTCGGCAGGAATGGGCAGCCAGGGGCCCGGCCTTCGGACTGCGATGCTGGACGCCCTAAAAGGGGAACTCTCATTTCTAAACACCTTGAGCACCTACTAAGTGCCCAGCAACCTGCAGCAGGCTCTAAGGTGGCAACGCTGGTGGCGACTCAGCCCCTGCCCCCTGTTTAGCCACGGAGACAGACACACTAGTGACTCATCCCACGCTCGATGTGCTTAGTGCCAAAATTCAAGTTTAAACAGAGGGCATCCCGACTGGAAGGATGAGTTCTTATTGGCCACGAAACCGAGGAAGCTTTTCCCTTGAAGGGAGGTCAGAGACTCAGGGAAGAGTAAGGACAGCTACATAGTCTAGCCCTGCCCCCACCCTGTCTGAATCAAACAAAAAAAAAGTTAATGTTAGAATGGTCAGGGAAGGCACAGAGAGTTAAAATGTAAGCGTAGCTGGGGAAATTTCAGTTTTACTACTGTTTTTGTATTCAATTCTTAAAAGACAAATTGTTTTAGAGGTCAGAAAGGGGAGGGGAGGGGTGGCCTAAGCTCCCAGCCTGTTTGGTGCTTTACTGCAACATAGCCCTGAGTTGGAGGCACATGACCTGGATCCTGGTTACTTAAGTTTTTGAGCCCAAGGCAAATTATTCAGCCTGTGTGTGATGTGTTTTTGTTGTTTTGATTTTTATTTTTTTAAATGTGTTGCACTATTTTACTGAGGCTGGCTTTGAACTCTCCACTCAAGATCTGGTGCCTCAGCCTACCCAGTAGCTGGAGCTGTAGGCCTGTACCAGGGCAACGGCTTTGTGCCTCAGTAATAGTTTCTTGGTCACAGGTTCATGAGAGAAGTTTCTCATAGGACTGTAAGGACAAATGAATAGATGCACTTGACGCATTTGGAATGCTTTTAGGTGCACAAGCCCACAGCACATGTCAACCGCCATGATTCTTTACCACCGTGAGGACTGACTGTTCGCAAGACCAGAAAGCCAGCCATGGCCTTTACTGGGTGATCTCAGGGCCTGTTTGTAATTTCACCAGGCTCCAAGGGAGAAGACCATGTTTTTTTCTGTAGTTTCTAAATTGCATGCATTTATTCAATAATTATTGAACCATGCCCTATGAGGAAAAAAAGGCATGATTTCTGTAGCTAAAGAATCTCACATTCTGGTAGGCAAGAGACTTGGGTAAAAAAATAATAATTTTAATTATTCCATGTTCAATGCTGTGTGGGATACTATTCAGTGCTGATATATATAAAAAGGCTATATATAACAGGTAATATTTTGATTCTTCAAATTATGATTAATTTTTATGGTCATAAAAATTATTGGTACAAGCGGTAGTCAAATTCCACCTAAGAAAAGTTACTGTCAAATGTTTAATTTCAAGGTTAATCATTTTATGGTCTAGAGGTATAGCTCAGTAGTAGGTCCATTGCCTAACATGTCTGAGGCCCTGGGCTAGATGCCCAGAACCACAGAAACACAGAAACCTACAGCCACCTGACAGAGTCAAGGCACAGGCCTGAGAGTCAGGGAATGTGGTTTCTAGTTCCAAGTTGGCCACTACCTAGGAGATGCTGAGTAAGTCCCCTTAAGCCTCTGGGGTCTGGTTTCCCTTCCAGCAAGGTGAGAAGGCTAGGTCAGGGAGTGTCTGGACTCCTTTCAGCTTCATAGTCTGTGTTTATGTTCTATGGATGACGTGACCTATCTCAGGCATATTTCCGGACTTTTTCCTTTTTTAAATTTATTATTTTTTAAAATATTTATTTTTATTATTTTTAATTTTTAATGCTGTGCCCATGGAGGGTGTTGGAAAATTTTTT